TCCCCTATCCTTCTCTTCATACTTTCCTCTATCACTCCTATTTGCTCTTGCTCCAACTCTCTGTAACCCTTTGCATGCTAGTGGCTTCCCGCCTTTCTTGGGGTGAATTTTTTTTCTCCGCAAAATAAATATGAAGAGAAATATTGAGGAACCTTCCAAGACAACAATTACGGTCAATGATCAGCAATTTGAGGCAATAAAACAATTCAAATAACTTGATGCAGTCATCAGCCAAGATGGATCCCAGTCAGAAGTTAATGCAATAATTGCATTGACAATAGCCAGGATGAAATGGTTGAAACTGATCTGGAAAGACAAAAAGCTCACCCTAAAAAAAAATAAACTGAGATTACTGTTTGTCCTCGACTTTTCTATTCTCCTGTATGCATGCATGTCGTGGACTCTAGCAGCAGGGGCTCCAAAGGTGGAACTGAGCTGCAGAAATGAGATACTTTAAACACCTGCTTGGTATTTAGATGTTTTGACTACTATAAAGAAGAGGAAGCTGAAGTGGTATGATCATGTAACCAGATTGAAAGGACTCTCCAAGACCATCCTCCTACAAGGAACAATTAAAAAGAGGAAATAGAAGTGGATACTAAAGAAAGTGGTAATTTGATAATGTCGTTGAATGGACTGGCAAGTCTTGTTCAGACCCAGGCGCCAGATCATTTGGAGACTTCTTGTTGAGCAAGCCACTATGCAGTGCCTCTATGACCCTGGTAGGTTATGGGACAAAAAGAATTATTATATATATTTTATAGTAATGAATAAATAACTTTTTTATTATTAAAACATGTTACTATGTCATTTAAAAAAAAAATTCCAGTTAAATAAGTGAAAAAGACATTAGGAATTTTCATTATCAACAAGTAAAATAAAAACCTGAAATACAATACTTTGTATTGTCACTCTCAATCTTGTGTCCAGTTTTATGACCATTATGAAAATGTCATCCTTTATACATAGAGGAACACAATGATGCATGTCAATTCTAATAAGAATATTGTCTATTGCATAATTAGATGCATTCAGCTCATAAAGTAAATTATCTAATCAAGTAATTAAAAATCTGTAGAATATATTGATGCAGTTTTATAATTCAAATTCAAAAATATGCTCTTAAGTAGGTGCCTGAGGGGGTCATCAGTGATGTTATTTGACTTGGTTCATCAGGGATTTTCGGATCTTTCAACATCATACTCCCCATCACCAAGTCGACCCAATCAGGGGAGATCAATCCTCTTAGTAAAACGCTAACAGCTACTCTGGCCTTTTAATGAATTAGACGAGGAAAGACAACATTTTCCGCACACCGGATTGGGTGTTTGTAACAACCAATCCACTGTGCGAACTGTCTTTTAAATGGTCTACAGTGGGGACTGGCTTCTTTTCTTTTTTCAGTGGGTAGCAGTTTCAATGGATAACCGAGGAGTTAATCTTAATGTTCCTAAATTTAACCCTTTTCCCTAAGTATTATATAGTGTCTTACTCTAAATATTTGCCGTTTTTATTTTATTTGTGTTTTTTTTTTTTTTTTTTTTTTTTGGTGGTGAGTTTAAACTCAACCCTACTATCACATTTTAGCATTTAGCCTGATTCTTAACATTATTATGACAGGTCAGTTAACTTTAAATGGATGGATTCGCAAAATGAATAGAAATTACCAAGTACAGAAGTTTACTTTGATGGACATTCGAAATGTAATTTGATTTTTAAGTCATTCAAAATTATTTTTTTTATTTAAATTTTAATGAAAATTTCAGTATGACCAGTTTTCAAAGTATTTATTGACAGTAAAATTGTAATATGTAGTACACTAATTATTAATTTGAAAGGGAAGTATGTATCTGAAATTTATAATAGTATATTGGAAAATGGTGTTTGACTAATTTTAACAGTAATATTGGTGAGGGATAAACTAATAAAAAGACTAGGTCAATGAAATAACAAAAATCCTTAAATACATTTATGAAACCTCATTTTCTTATCAGTGAAGACATTCCAAGATATCATAACGTTCCCAGAGGTTAATGAACCACATATATTAGATAGGTCCAAAAATTTTCCATAGAAAATGTGAACAAATCAAAAGAAAAATTTTTTTTTCTTTTTGCTAAAAAAAAATTTTTTTGTTTGAAAGAAAAATAAGTTTTCATAAATTATAATGTGTAATGGTAATATTTGCTGTTTCCCTACAAGGAAACATTTGGCATTCATTGACCAAGCAGCTTGAAATTTATAAAATTTATCTCTTAAAACAATTTTTCACAAAAACAGGTTTCTCAAGTTCAGTAGCTGTTATTGCTCTTGCCAGTATTGCTGGGGGGTTCCTTCCTAACTTTTTATTTGAAGTCGTGTTGAATGTTAGAATAGGATTCTTATAAAATCCATGTTTACTTTAATTAGCAATAAATCAACCATTACTTCACACCTGATTGCTACTTATAAAAAATAGCTGAGAATCTTTGGGAATTGAATTTTTTTAATTTTTTTTTTA